GGTGAAAGAAGCAGAAAAAAAAAATTTTTTTCTAAAAGAAGATGATATTATCGCAGCTTTTTTTGTCGATTACATTTTGTTATAGACCAAGAAAGAACCGAGACGACCAAGAGGCGCAGCACTAGCTAGAGAATTTTTTATAGTTGCAACTCGCACCAGTTACGAAAATCTGGACGACCCGCGCATTTAGAATGTTCCAGGCAAAAATATGAATGGAAATCAGGCTGGAAAGCATCACAAGTTGTCACAGGCACTTATTTAGCCAGTCTGCCAGTGAACGTCAATTTCGTCACTATTCTTACCCTGGACTAGCACCTTAATCACAAAGTCACTAAACGCTTGTGCTTGATTGAGAGACACTGCATTCGGTGCAGAACGTAGTTTTCTTCCTGCTCTGGACAGTGACAATAAATTTGAGGGATGTATTTTCGCCCACAAAATTATATTTAATTATAACTGTATTTGAAATACCCACGTTTCAGTATTTAAATACACACGTCAAATACATTACCCAATTTGGAATTAAATACAAATGCAAAATACACAAAGTATTTGAAATACGTATTTCAAATACTGCCCATCCCCTGCTCTCTCTCTCTCTCTCTCTCTCTATATATATATATATATATATATATAAATTAATTCCCGGGCAAAGAGTAAAAGAAAACAAAAAGAATATATATATATATATATATATATATATATATATATATATATATATATATATATATATATATAAATTAATTCCCGGGCAAAGAGTAAAAGAAAACAAAAAGAAATAAAAGAAATGCATTTGGTGACTTATTCAGGGACACGTCTTAAATACCAAAAACCTTTTAGGGGAAGTGTCGAATTGCTGGAGCGCGAGCACTCAAAACAAGAGAATACTATGCTTCTATAAAAAAAAAAAAAAAGATTTTGGTAAAAAAAAAACACAGCATTTTTTTTTTTTGTGCTTCTTAGGTTATTATGGTAAGGGGACCCGTCACAAAGGCTCAGCCCAGTCTTGTGTCTTGTAGAGGCTAGGTATAAAATCAGCCTCGAGCAGAAGCTACTTTATCCTAAGCCCACAGGTGCTTACGGTGCCAGGGTTTCTCCAAAAATATGTGACGTAGGGGCAAACAAGCTGATTGACCCTTTTTAGCGAAAGCTACGAACTAGCGAGGAATTCCGGATCGAAAGGTTGACACAATAAAGCTAGAATGCATCGCTGATTGTGTACGGGTGCCATAGAATAGGAAAGGCCCTAGCAGAGCTGGGCACTGGCCTGAAGCGGGTTGTACTCCCGAATACCACCAACAGACTCCTCCACATTCTCTTCACTGATCAGGATGTACCGTTCAAGAGAGGATTAGTCAAGTTCTGAATGACTTAAAAAAAAAAAAATTCATAAGTGTGTAACAACTGGCAGGTGTTTACATTTTTAGTCGCAAGGGGAAATAAGGGAGACGTTAGCCATTGACTTTTTCATTTATTCAACCCTTAAAGGCCCAATGGGCATTACATAAGGGGGCGCAAGGAATATAAAATCAAAAATACAGAACACCGCATGAAGCTTTTTCTTTTGTTCGTGGCTCTATATTGGAGAGGAGAAAATAAAGCAGGCAAACTTTTTGTTGTCTGTAAATAAAATTATGGGTAGAAGGAAACTAGTGCATCTTTTTGGATACCGAAATTAAAAGTAATTTATAGGTATTTTCATTACTTTTTAAAATAATTTCGAATTGTAATTAACTATTTTTGCCGTGGTAATTTGTTCTGTAATTTTATTGCATCTTAGCCGTTTAGGCAAGGTAATTAGTAATGTAATGTAATTACAAAATAATTATTTTGTACAGCTCTGATTGTTGGATAAGCATTAGTCAAAGAAAGCCTTTTTTTTAATTTATGACGAAAATTGTTTTGTCTTTACCAGGTAGAAAACTTGTTTTTCTTAGGTTCAAACAGTCGCGCCTGCATGCAGCTTTGGCGGTGTTGTGTAGTCTGAGAGATGGCTGTTGAGTGCGCGCCATGCTTCTTATGCTCGGGAGGATTTTCTGGGACAATGTTTTCAAGCTAGGGGTCCTGGTGAGCTAGCGCACATTGAGTGCCGGCGCGAATTAAAGTTGCGCCTGCGCAATCTTCACCTTTGCTGAGCAACGTTCCTCACAACGGCTTCCGGCAGCTGCCACTTTAAATGTCGGTGCCTTCGGCGCGCCTTTCCCTTACTTGCCGAAGAACGGGCCGCTGGACATACTTTTTGCAGACAGTAAAATCGTCCACCCGCTTTATTTGCGGGAAACAGACGCCTTATTCTAAAGGACTGTTGATAGACAATTGCGAGCATATGATGCTCCGACTGGAGCCCCATGTGTGCAAGCAGGTGCCGCTTGAACATAGCTTCGGCAAGCTTGCAATTGCGCGGGCGGGCTTGTCCACAGAAGCAGAGACATGGCGGTGGCTGCAAGTCGCCTTGCTTGCCATCGTCACTACAGGAGCGTTTGCTTCGTTTTCTTATATTACGTCATGATGCGAAAGGGAGTTACCGGGACGTCTGCGCTTCGTATGTCACGTGCAAAGCTACGCCTTGAATTGGTTACCGCGCTTCGTACGCAACACGTGACTCAGCGTCGTGAGCAGACGTAAGCGCCGTAACGTAATGCAACGTAAGCATGCACCTTTCTAATGTTTACAAATCCACAGCCCATCGTGCGATCTCCACAGCCCAGCACGCGCGGGATCGTAGCTTCCGAAAGCGAGGAAAACACGCGTCATACGCACGAACTCTGAAGGTGGCGCCTGCCTGAAGCGCCGAATGCGGGTGGAAACTAAGGGAGAGGAGGATACGAGAGCGGCGTGGAGACGCGAGAGCGCCGAGCTCTGACTGAAAGGATTAGTGGACAGACGCAAAGCTAGCTGTATGTCTACTCAGTGCTGTTCGAACGCGCACTCCAAACGCCGGACGATGGCGTTCGGCGTTCGAACGCGTTCGACAGTGAGTAGAGATAAATTACAGCTATAGTTTTGCGTCTACCCACTAATTCCAACTGGAGCTCGGCGCTCTGCAGACGTCCCCGCGCGCTTTCATCTCCTCCCCTCCCGTAGTTTCCACCCGCGCGCTTATGTGCGAGCGTAGCCAGTGCTACCTAGAAGACAAGGGCCGTGCATTTGACGTCATCATTAGTGGATCCCCGAGCCGGCCGGCCCGAGCGGAAAACACGCTGAAGGTCGAAGAGAGTTGCCGCAAAGCGGCAAACGCGCACTCTTAGAAAAAAAAACAAAAAAAAAACGGTATACATTCTTACACCCTTTGTCCCATATAAGACACCCCAAAACTTCAGTTCGACGCTGAGTGCGCTGACGTCGAACCAATGGCATTAACTTTCACGAGCGGCTTGATAGCGGAGTAGTACAACTTATTAAAATAACTAAGGTACGTGTTACTAAAAAAAAAAGTAATCGGGGTTTGCTTGGCCCCCACTGCACTCTTTCTGCAGTAGGGCCAAGAAAACTTTCTGTAGATATTGATACTTCAGCTGTTTTAATGAGGTATATCTCCCCACCGTTATCAAGCCCCTCCTAAACGTTGGGGCCGTCTGTTCGACTTCAGTGCACCGTACATACGCCGAACTAAAGCTTTGGGGTGAATTGTATGGGACAACCCCCCCTCCCTTTTTTTTTAGAGCGCGACGCTAGGACGCGGAACCGCCAAGATGGACGCGTCCCTCTCGGCGGTTCCGCGTCCTATAGCGTCGCTTCTCGTTGTCAGAAACTGCGAGAAGCATTGGCGGCGACGCTGACGTGAACTATAGGCGGCGGGGGCTGCGTGACTCCACTAGTGCTCACGTTTCGGGCATTACGTCCGAGCGCAGCGGATGTTACGAGCCATCGGAGCCAAACCAAGGCCGTGTTCATCGTCACGTGACCTTGGAGAGGAGGCCCAGCGACGCGCGGAAAGCGTATCACGAGCTACGTCCACAGAGCGGGATTGGCTGGAATAGCTCGTAGGCGTCCGCTCCATCCGGACGTAAGGTTGAACGGAGTATAGATGGTATTGGCGTAGCAGAAGCTACAAGGGCGCGATCCGCGCTTTCGAGTATCCCAGCCAAGCACACGCGCTCGCGCACAGTGCAAGCATCGTACAGGGAAACGTGCTCGTTTCTGTAGTAGCTCGTACGTAAAGTGAAACGAACCATATAGGGAGTGTTCACACGTAGCCATTTGGACCAGCTGTGGCTAATATCAGTTTTCCTGCACCACAAAAGATCAGCTTCGATAGTGTAGAATGACTGTTGTGGTAGAGCTTGATGTCGACATACGCAAAGCAGCAGCTTACACAGCAAGGGCGGCCAGTGATTACACCCTATATATTGCTCCGATATTCGCGTAAAAACTACTAATCGTGGTAAAATCGCAGCTTGGCACGCGCATGTTTCTTCGCTTCGGAAAGCGACCAAAGCGCGCGTCATACGCCTGATCGCTTAAAAATGATACCGACCCGAAGCGCTTTTCTGGAATGGCCTACTAAGCCATGCATGAACACGTGAGTTGTTAATCTCGAAAACAAACTGAGTAGGCTTCGGCAGCATACGACATATATTACACGGTATATAGAGGACTTTTCGCAGATTCCATGAATTGGGTTAACAAAACTAACAAGTGTGATTCCCAACAAACTTTGTATCTTCAGCTGTTGTCAGGCCGCGCTTAAACCGGCACTGTTACCTCTGCTCCTTCAAATTCTAAAGACTTCAGAAAAGTGGAAAAACGCGGTGCCAGACAAAACGGCCTCGTGCTAAACGCGTAAAAAAAGAAAAAAGAAAAAAAAAAAGAAGTCGTAGACGCGTTCGGGGTTAGCAGTGTGAAGAAATGCCCCATTTTTATTAACATTTCCGAGGCCAACTCTTGGGGTAAAACAGCACACCGTGTCCCTGTCAAGCGTCGAATAAACAAAAACTGGAACGGTCGTTACGCATTCCGCGGGCCTTCGCTGACCAGCCTGCGTGACTTCTCCATTCCAGCGTCTCTGTTATCCTACGGCTGTGCAATGGATGAACAATGCTCACGGCGGGTGCCTCACAGCCAGTGCGGTTCCAAGGGACTATGCGAGTGTCAGAAAAACTACCTCCCATACCGCCTGGACAAGTGCCTGCCTCGTAAGTAGCCCGATCTTGCTTGTTTATCCCCCCGCGGTATCCCCTCGTAATTATAACTGACCCCGAAGATGAGAGAAGCGCGCAAACGAAACGACAGCATGTGCAAAACTCGGCTGACGGCTTCTGCCGACGGCGTGCACGAAGTTCTTGACGCGCGCCCTGGCAGGGGCCCTCTTTACACAAGGGCGGGAGGCGCGTTGCCGGACGCGGGGAGGCCAACGTCGCTGCTCCTCGGGCGTCACTCAGAAGCGTCAGGTTTTCTTTCCTGTTTTTGTCTCCTTTCCCAGCCGCTAAGTTGGAAGAGTACTGCCTCAACGATCTCCAGTGCAAGATGGCCAACCGATTCAGCTACTGCAAGTACATCATACCGAGGGTGTACGGCAAGTGCAAGTGTCCCAGCGGGTACATGCTCACGCACGACCAAGAATGTATGCCTTGTGAGTAGATTTGAGCAATCCGCATGTTCAAGCAAATGCAGTCTTCTTGTTTCCCTTTTTTACGACGAAAGAACACATGCGGGAAGGATTTGTCAGACAGAGTTCATTATGGACAGGGTGTGACTTTTTCGGTGTCCAAACTCGGTGTAGATTTTTCGGTTTTTTATTTAGGGGAAAAAAAGTGAACATATCAAAGCTCACACATTTGTTTTTTTGCTGACTTGTGCGGTGTCTTCATTCGACGGAAGACCGTACATGACCATTGTTTTGCTTGTCTTTTTGTAATCGCTAGGTGAATATTAACGCATGGTTGTGTTTAGCGCAATGTTGTTCATGTGAAAATTCTCCCATATGCTCCTCTATGCTCCCATATCAAAGGGCGATAATCCGGAAAACAAAGTGGGCCTCAACGTGTAACGAGATAAATGCACAAAATAATATTTTTATCTGTCTCAGTAGCGTGTACAATCTAGATCGCAATAGACCGATTTCACTAAGCGTTCGGCGCATGCGTGACGCCGCCATAACTTTAGTACACAGGAGGCAGACGACAGCGCACGAGGGGACTCGTTCCATCTCGTGCTCTATACATTCGCAGAGCTTCAGCTAGGTTGTCGCACGGGCAGAAAGACTAAACTTCCCTCGATGCAAATGCGGCAGCGGTGGCCTAGTCAAACTGGCTGGTGAGATCGGTCTATTACTTAAAAGATTATTGTTATAAAACAGACGCAATTTTCCAGGTTTTCTATATTAATGTTCTCCCGTTATTTTCTGTTTCTAACTCTTAGTTTTGGAAACGCATTTTTACTATTTACCACGGCCACTTGATGCTGCACTTCTGTACCGGTGTATTTACACTCGAAACTGGCAAATTATCGAGGTGACGTAGGTGAGGCGACGTGAGCTGAAGCTGGTCAGTCAGTAAAACACGTCAAGCCAATTGACAACCGATACTACGTTTCGAAGCACTACACAATTCTTGTACTCATAAAGCTCTGGTTGCAATGCTCGAATTTCGTCATCGGCTTTGATATAAACTTTGAAAATGCCTCACACATTGAGAAGTTGTGGGACATTTTGGACAAATAAAACAATCCAAATCCCACCTCGAAGGGAGCGCAAGTTTGGCACACAAAATCCGATCACAAAGAAAAAGCAAAACATTTAACCTTTTAATGAGTATTTATTGTGGAGCTCTAATTCAGAAGAACATGAGGCGAACCTCAACAAAGATGATAACTCGATAAGTGCGTTACAAGGTAACGCGATAACGACCCTCTATACCCAACTCCGCAACGCTTATCAGTTGAGACAAATCAAGTAAAATCAAATGAAATCATACTTGGCGGTTTTGCATGCCAAGCCAACGAGAGTCGTCTGACACACCCAAGCGGAGGACTGAGGATTAATTTCGACAACCTGGAAATATTTTGACGTGCAATCGAAATCTCGGTTACGCTGCTCCTTTTCGTAATAAGCTTCCGTCAGATTGTTGCCACCTCGGCCGAGAATAGAACCCGCCAACTGGGGACCAGAATTGTAGAGTACCTAGGTACAAGTAACTACATTGTACCTAAGGTATAAACCTAGGTACTTTTATTTATCTCTGTCTGTACCTGCATCTGGGATACATTTTCCATTAACTTGTAACTTAGTGAAGTTACGCTTTGGAGGTACTTTTTGCTCGATTGAGCCAAATTATAGAAAAATATAATTGGGAAGTATTGACGCGTTCAGGTGGAGACGAAGGGAACATTCAGTCAGAGATAACGAAGATCGAGAAAAATTCAGGCGGCCTGGGTTGCTTGCTGTGCCCCCAGAATGAAGACGTTAATTTTGGCAGCATGAGACGGCGTGTGGTCGTCGACTGCGCATTGCGTTGTAGGCGCTACCGAAAATGAGTAACGAAATACGTTCCTCGTTACTTGCGAATAAAAGTGATGTGTTACCGCCCCTACGTAATCTCAAAATAAAAGTAATACGTTACAGATAACAATCAAAAGCAATGCATGTTACTTTGGCATTACTTTTTTTGTATGAGTGTGTGTATTTTCCACCTCAGTAGCGACACTTATTATGTTTTTTTTAGTCTCTCCTGGGGGCACGTTTCCTTCTCCAATTGAAAGCGGCTTTGAAGGTCAGAAATGTATTGTTAACTTTCAAAAAGAGTCGGGGTGTTACAAGACTTGGGCCGCAAAACGTCCTAACGCCGAGCAGAGCGGTCAAGAGAGTGCTGGGACACCGCTGCCTGAAACAATTATAGCGCGATACTTTATTTGTTTGAACTGTACACCGAGACATTTTTTCAGTCGTTTCTGATTCCCAGGGCTCGAAAAGAGTGTGGGGCAAAATTAAGGGTCAGAGGATTTGTTTACAAAAACGTATTACTTGGTGTCTCAAAACACCAGAAATATGAAATGTATTTTTTTTTTCACTCGTGGTAGTGTTAACAACAAAATATAATAACTAATCCCATGCGTTACTCGAAAATAGTTACGCAAATACATTCACTACTATTCGCCGTTTTCATAAAAATAGAAAGTATATTTTAAGTAACTGTATCTGTACTTAGGTAGATTCTTCAATGAGTATCTTTGCATGAGTTACTGTAACGCTGCTGGGGACTTAGCTGAGCCAGACTGCTCTCAACTAATCACCTTTTTATTGTGAAAAATTGGTTCGGCGTACGTTTATCGGCTCCTATCAGTGTTAACCGAACACAGCAAACCCTTCACTTAAACAGTTGCGGGCTGTTGTCAATTTGAGAGTGTTTTTGGAACTGTGGTCACGTGGTCTGCAGCGAGATTACTGCAGCAAGTTTAAAGACAGTCGCAAAGCTTGGAGTGCAACGAGTGAGTGCAACGAGTGGATTAAATGCAGCAACTTGAATTCCCTTTAATATTTTGGCGCCGAGGTTGACACGAATTCCCTTTCACTGTGCCATTTGTCTCGACCAACTTATTTGCAGATGCTACCACCTTACACCCATCCCATTTCAATTATACTTTACCGTATTTTCAAGATCCCTCACAATAATTTTTCTGCGCCACTGGAAGATATTTAATTTAAGTAACGATTTCATCGCATTCTATCCGAGCATTGGCTGCAGCTCTTTAAGTGAGCTAAATTATTTCTATTCCAATGAAATACCAGAACCTGTAAATACACTGCATGAAAGAAGCAGTAGATACAAATACTTTGCTTCTCTGCAACGTTTAACAATCACGTCATATTGGCTGCCTTGGTCTGATAAAGGAAATATAACTAGACATGTCCTACATTGAGCAGGCTTCACGAAGGGTTCACTGCACACTTTTAAGCGGGACGCTGACTGAAATAATGCCTGCCCTTCTGTCCTGTTTCAGATCTAGAGAATGAGTGTCACTCGAACCAAGACTGCTCTAAGGTGACTCCAAACTCTTTCTGCGGTCGGAAAGGGAACGCGTCATTGTGTATCTGCGACCACGGCTTCAAGATGTCGAGGAACAAGCTACGCTGTCATGCGGACAAGTATGGTAAGCTCTGCGCCCTTGTTTTCTTGAAAAAGTTTAAGATTCCTATACCACGGCCGTTAAAATCTGCGGTAGTTGTGCTCAGACTCATGTTCGTGGTACAAACGTCTTGTCTCAGCATGAGTCATGCAGTTCGTTCTTGTTGCAAATGAATAACCAATTTATTCTCAATTTTCGAAAGTAGAATGTGATATTCATCTCTGAAACATAATTTACAATCAAATAACAAAAAGTAGAAGTTTTGATATTTTAGACGACCTGCCTGAACGTAATCTAGAGCCGCGTTTACATGAATGAGACATAAGCGCATCGACACCAGACATCGCATTCAGTGCGGTCATGTAAACGGCATAACCTGCGAGGAAAGCACATTGCATTCAAGCCGATAGACGGCAATTAATCGAGACGGCTAATGCGCGTTCATACAGCACATGTAAACGGAGGTCGCATCGCATTTCGCAAAGCGGAGAATTCTGGGAAGGCGCTCGCTGCGAGACTACAAAGTTTGCTGTGGGACTTTGTGAGCAGCTCTGAACATGGTGGCAGTGGCGGAGAGCGGACCCGGGTGTTCTAGCTCAATTTTTGCCTGAGAAAACGCGAGCTTTCCTTGCTGTTGGTCGGCCGTGGCGCTTCTTCCTGATGTAGGAGCGCTACTTGGTCAATCCGTCCTCGCTCATGGCTTTGTGGATCACGACTTGCGCGCCTACAGGGAGTTCCCGAGCTAGGTTCTGCTCGTACTGCGCTACCAGCGCTATGGCGTCGGGAGCTCATGCTCCGGGCGGTGCATTGGAAATTTCTCACGAAGTGAAACCAGGGAGCAAATTCAGGGCCCGACTGCCCTATCTGAACGTCCAGCTTTTTCGCAAGCACGATATAACCATGACCCTTTAGCGCTCGTTCTTTTGTGTTTGACATCCTCGTGACAGTAAACAGAGCAGCGTTAACGCGCGACGTACGTAAAAGCAAGCAAATTTCCGAGGTGGCATCCACCGAGGAGGCACCTGGATACCTACGTCGTGCCGCAAATTTATAGACCGACACGCTGTTTACAAACAAGTCCGCGTTTGCCCACACCAGGTGTGGGCACTGCGCGTGCGCCGAAACCGAATTCGCGTGGAGTGATGCGTCTGCGCATGCGCAGTGCCGTCGACAGCGCCACCGCAGCTGCGTGACGTCAGGGCCGTATGTTGGTCTATAAGTAAAAGCTTGATGGTTTTTTTTTTAGCTTAAATATTACTCAATGTTTTGCCACCAGAAGTTGGCTCAAGGCAGTGCAGACGATTAGGAATAGTATAAAAAAAAAATTGAGTTTATTTTTTTTTAATATTGACGTGCAATTGTTTCAAATTTAGATAAGTCCGCGGCGTTTCTGTTTAATCACACAACTACAATAATGGCTAAGCCTATATATTTATAGATCCGTAAAATGCATTTAAATATTGTCATTTTGATATATTTTCCACCATATTATATGGAGTATTTTGTTGGTAAATAATTGGTTAATCTAACTCTAAAACGTGTTTACATGACATTTTTCGTAGCTTTCTTGCATAGAAATATTTTATTGTAATTTTTATTATTCTGTGTACATATTGTAAACCTTTCAGAAAGTAATTAGGAAAAATATTACTACCGTAATATTCGGAGATTCATGAAGAGCTTCTTCAATTATTATTCGAAGTTATTCAATTATATCCAAAGATAACCCACCCCTATCTTTGGCTTGATTTTCTATTTTTTTCTTAAACACCGAAAGATAGCCCACTTCTTTTAATCGTAGTGTTCGGATCAATGATGGCCTCGGAGCAAATGTGGCTAGTTATCTATTGTGGGACATAAGCCAACATCGCTGAATGGGAAGTACTGTCTCGATGCTTGATTTCCCCTCTCCGCGATAAGAAGTTTGGCAGGGGCACATATCACCAAAAAATATAATTGTTTCCACCTTTTATTGATTTTACACCGAAATTTAGCCCATTCTTAAGTTTCCCCCAAGTTGCTCTGAATCTTAGGTGGGCTCTCTCTCGGGATATAATGGTACGTGCATGCCTCGGTGTGAAATTGACTTTACACCACACTGCAACAATTGACAATCTCCTCGGCTCGAACTTCGAAATTTCGTATCCCCGAAATAAAATTAGCTACACCATTCACATATAACTGCACACTCTTGCCAAGAACATGGGTTTCACATATATCTTTTATATAATTATTAAAAGAAAATATGACCCGGACCATCATTGCACGATCTGACGAGGAAACATCCTGTGGAACAGCAGACGATGCCGGACACTGCCGAGCGGCTGCTGGTACGACTATCAGACGGTGTCAGTTCGTAACTTTCGCTCACGAAGGGTAAATCAGTTTGTTTCCTCTACATTGCATATTTTCGAGACACCCTGGCACCGTCAACCCTCGTGGGCTTAAAATAGAGTAGCATCTACGGAAGGGTGCTTTTTTCTCTAGCCTCTACAAGCCACAAGACTAGGCACAGCCTTGTCACGGGTCCCCTTACCATAATAGTCTCCGAAGAAAAAAAATAAAAAAAGATTCAGTACTTTTTTCTGGCACCAACTTTCTGTTCAGTTTTTTTTTTTTTTTTAGGAGTACCGTATTTGTTTGAGTAATAGCCGCACTATATTTATGTACAAAGCCTTTGCGTCTACTTTCCCGCAGAACACATATGCAGCCAACCATCGTCTTGCGCATAAACAACAGCAAATAACTAGATCAAAAACATGATTCTCCATACAAGTGCCATCATCAGAGATGGTATCTTCGCGCGAAGACGTTATCTCTGTCCTGTAAACCACTGTAATCATGCTGCCGATTGCGGTGATTGGCAATCCGTGTGCTCCGCGGAAAAGCGATCCCTCTGGATGTTTTTTCATAAACTGTGCGGCTATTACTCGAGTAAATACTGTATATTATTTTAGTGTTTTGAGTGCTCCTGCTCGAGCAATTTTATTCTTCCACTCAAAAGGTTTATGGTCTTTAAGACGTGTCCCTCAATAAGCCACCTAATGCATTTCTTTTATTCCTTTCTACTTTCTTTTACTCTTTGCCCGGAACGTTATTTTATATATACATATATATTCAACTTCAACTTCGCAGGTGCACAAAATATGCTTGAAGCTAAAGAATAATAATTAAGAAATTTCATTAAAATTACCCCCCGGAGTAATTAATTACATTACTAAATTACCCAAACCAAAAAAGTTTTAAATTAAATTACTAGTTACTGCCAAGAGTGACTAAATTACTCTAATCACACTACTGTAATTGCATTACTGCCATCACTGATCTAGTATACCTAAGCGCTGTCAGGGTGTGACGTCGGAGCCGCTAAGGTGTCATTTCGGAGCAGATGGACTGAATGAACGGTAAAGGTGCCAGCGCGCACCATAGAGTCCGCAGAGGCGTTCCGTACTAAATCGAATGAAACGCCAGACAAAAATTCCATAGTGTTTTGGATCCAGTGAGGCAGTATTAAGTAGAGAGCATTTCGTAAACCTGTTAAAACAATTCTAACGCGATAGCGGTAAGGAGCTTGTGTCGGGGAAACCCCGGTCTCGGTGGTGTGGCAGAAAAGCCGGCGTCGGTGGCGTGACGCGAAAATCCTGATTGGTCGATAGGTCATGACGTAAAAGCCACATGACCTCGCGCGAGAATTTCCTACAACCCACAACGCTGACATGTGACATCACGCGTGAAATGAAAGTGATTAAGGAACATGACATGTAATGCGAATTAAAAGACGCCGCATGTCTCAAATGATTTCCCGTTATAAGGTAATTCACTTGTCTCAAGGAAGAATTTTAAGAAATTAGGCGGGATTCGAACCCACGACCGTTCGGTCGCGAGTCATGACACGGTATTGACTAGGCCATGTCCGCCGCACTTTTTTTTTTAATTTTTTCATTAAAAGACGGGTTTTTGTACATGATTAAGAATACCCGAAAACAGTCCGACATACAATGCTAGCTTCAAGAAGAGGAAACACAGGACCACAATATAATATATCCAGTCTATAAATCAAAATGAAAACAACAAACAGGACCGGACGGGAACAGAACTCCAGCAAGCATCTAGCAGTCCTCACCTGGGTGGTGTACAGGGTAGCCCACGCATTCCGAAACAAGCCAACAGCGTCTCAACAAGCTAGTCCCTCCTGCTCTGTAGCCACTAGCAGTGAACTGGCATAACAAAAGCCTTCAACAAAATGCCTCCACGCTGGTTTCCCTCCCTCGACAACAAGGAGGTTATCCGTTCTTGACCACCGCAGTGCATGAAGGCCCAGCATGGTTAGAACCTCAAATGAACGACCACCTTCGCCTGACCCATACTGAAGAAGCATCGCACTTCGGCATGAAACATATTTATTCACTCTTAACACCGCACGCAATTGTGCCCAAAAGAGTTCTGCATAAGTGCCATACAGGATAACATGTTCCAGCGTTTATGGGACCAAGGGCGCACTGAAGGAAGGTCTTGCATTCCTCCATGAACCGGTTTGGAGACACGTAAACATTCATCATGACAATCCTATCGCGGGTTCGCACCGCACACGCGTCGGCGTACTTCGAATGTGTCACGACGTCCTTCGGAGTGCATTGTATGCCACACCAGCCGCCCGTGACTCGGGGCGGTGAGAGGTCACCACACAGTCATATCCACTCACATACGCGCTTTCCCAAGTTTTTGAGAGTCATAGGAGAGGTATCTCTCCCAGCACATGATCGTGTGCCACGTCGTCTCGGTGAGCATTTATTGACCTGACGTTCATCGAAGCTATAGTGAGACGACAACTTCCCAACATGCCAAGGCATCGGTCGGTGATTGTGGAGAGCTTGTTGTTTTGCAGTCCCCGGAACTGGTCCGCCCATTCACGATCGACGTTCGATTTGGTGTGGTGGAACATGAAATCATTTTCCGCGTTCGTCAAGAAGAGCCCTTCGATGTTCGTGGAACGACTCAACGTCACGTACACAAGTTTCCGAGGG